TCGAACTGTACCGAGAGGCTCTGTGAGATTTGAGTGTTTTGCTCAAGGACACAAAACAATCCGCCTGTTAGGGCTCGAACCAAATGCCTATACCGTTTATTACCTTTTTTGCGAGGCGACACAGTTAAAAACAATGCAGAGTGATGATACCTTAATTTTCTTCCGGAGGATTCAATGGATTTGACATTCTCGTCGGCCTAATCTAGAAAGAAGAGCCTATTACATCGCCGTTCGCATGTCGAAATATTTGTAGTAGATTAAACATCTATTACAAAAATATCTAAAATCTTAATGCTTTTTTCAGGCTCTAGGAAGATGCATTCGCCATAAGTGAGTATGTCTTATTTTATATGAACTGCCTAAAATTGAACTCAAAGAAAACAGGCTAGGCTAGCAAACTAAACTGGTATAAACTCGGAGGGCCGGTTATTTACACGAGATCTAACCCAAACCAACGGTTTTACGCAATCAGTGGACTTCAAGCTTTCTATAAAGGAGGGTTCCTTCCACTGTTAGCTTTCGGCTCTCTTTTGCTCACAAAAATAAAGGTTCGGCAAAATTAGAATTCTTTAGGACACGATTTTGTCATATAACGGCTAAACTTTGCCGTTTTCCTAATCAGACTGTAATGGCTTGCCGGAAACTGAGTTCTTTCGTCAATCTTAGACTTCTACTACTATAACGATAAGTATCATATCGTTTGTATAAGTTTTTTTGGTCTAAGAAACTATTACAACAAGGCTGTGACAGATCGCATGGCTATTTGGTATCTATTTGTTGTCAGGTTACTTCGTTGTAGGCAGTCCGCACCTAACTTACACCTAGCTAGGCTGTGCTAGGCTATCAGTTAGTGGGAAAGGGAAAAAAAGGGAGCATGTTTACAATGGCGAGCGAGTACTCGAAGAAATCCTTAATAATCACTTAATCTGTTTCTGAATAGAGTGTTTTATTTCAATAATTACGTTTGCGGGTGGATTAAGGCTTCAGAGGGCCGACGGACTAGAGGCTCTCTGGCTTAAAATTAAGTACCCTATAGCGTTGAACCTTCTCCTAAGCGGCCTGGTAACTAACAATTTGACTTTTCACAGGCAAGACTGGGGAGCTATTCTATTGATAGATGAACGGTTTAACAAGTCTCCAAAGTATACAAACGGTAAGAAACTACATCTGTGAACTTCACAACAGGTCTGCTTAGTTTTACCTAACAAAATGTAACCATCTATATAGGGATATCCAAATGGGTCCGAAAGAGAATTGCAAAGTTTAACAACTTTAATGAGGCTATGTCGTCCTTGAAAGAATTTGCAACTGTGCGTAAACTAGATCCATGCCCTTCCGGTAGCAGCCCGGGCTCACTCAGCCAGTTGAGCAAAAGCACAGTGGAGACTCCAGCTAAAGAGCAAGGCGTTCACTTTCGCACTAAACCACTTGAGGACGACAGACTGTCTCCACAGCTTGATCCCAGCAGAACTCCGGTTCAACACACTGGTACTAAACCATTTGCCGAGCAAACATCGCCTGTCAATTATCAAGGAAATAAAATCTCTGGGTTTATGCCTGCGTCTCATTTGACCCCTTCGGCACTCTCTGAAGCCACTCCCCATGGCGTATCTCTTAGTGTTGAGAGGGCTGCCTCAAAACTTGCGCAATTCAAGCGGAAAAGTGTTGGTCAAGACAAGAGCGAGAAGCACGTTTTCAAAGGGATGGAATCGATTTCTGATTTTACACCAAGAAATGGCGGAAATGTTTTATCAAGTAAGCGCAATGAGGTAAATGAGGACAAGAAATTTGTCAACCAGGTGTCGGTTGGGAAAGTTGACTTTAATCATACCAGCGAAAACCACTCAAATGAACAGCTGTCTTACTCTCCTGTTCTGTTTGCTACGCCCCAGTCCAGTCCTTCGCCTTCACCAGTTAAGCAGGAATTTGACACGTATAAACCAGTTGAAAGAGAAGTGAGGACAGATGTAAACTCTTCGAACATGAATTCCTTCTGTAACACATCAAGTTATGCTAAAACTGTAGAAAATGGATACAGTGATCTAAGCAAAAGTTCAATCCAGGTGTCAAAAGATATCAGTGATTTCGAAGAATCGGGAGGCCAAGGCTTCGCTGTTAAGGAAATTCCCTGCGAGGTAAAAGAAGAGAGTAAGCCACGTGACTTCTTAGACGAGGTTGAAACTGATTTTCCCTTGGATAATTCTGAGTTGGCAAACCGTTATGTAGACTCAAATGTGGGTGCGAAGAAATGTTTCGATGGGAAAAATTGTAAATCTGAGATGCCGAGCAACGTTCGACAGGGACGGAGAAAGAGTTCGAGGCTCAGACGATCTTCAAATGGCACCGGGTGCACTGAGAAGGAACAGAAAGAAGTATGCGAGGTATCACTGTCACTTTTTCGTTTTTCACTTTAGTAAAGACGGGAATCATGTTGATTAGCACCTGCCTCAAACGACGCTCATTTTTTCCTAGTGTGAAATTTCACGTTGGTGGTGCCTTGTTGTTTGTAGCATTATGTCTTGCGGTCAGTATTTAAAAAGCCGTATTAGTCTCACTAAATTACGAAGTCAACTTTCGTTTTGATTTAATAGTAGTATGGTTACATTTTCATCTTCATCTGGAGTACAATATAGACTTGGAACCACTACGGTCGATTCCATTATGTTGTTTGCGGAAAATCACTTTTTTCACATCACTTTTATTTCATTATTTGATTTTAGGAAAAACCAGAGGTTAAAGGTGGCAATCCAATACTGAGTTGTGGCCGATGTGGAAGCAACCTTGTTGCAGGTGAGTTAGTAGAGCTGTTGCACAACCCAAGCAGGTTTCCAGGCATTTCTATAATATAAATAAGCCATATCTTTGGTATAGGAGGCACGGATACCTTTTCATGATAACCAGGTTAAAATGTTCACAATTAAACCTTAACTCCCTAACATCAGTAGGCATATTCTTAATACTCTTTTCGATGTATTTCTTTTGATACTGACATGGAGAATTTGTTAAACAATCAACAGGTTCTTTAGTTGTTGATCATTTCTTTTTATTATAATGACCTTAATGGGGTGATATTGTTAATAGGAAATCAGACGCTAGTCACTTTAAACGGTTAATGCACTTAAAATCCCTTTAGCTCCTCTCTTCACCCAGGGTATGAATGGGACAAATGAGTATAAATGGGTACAAGTGGGTTGTTAGGGAAGTCTGACGAAATGCCGGGTGATGCCTTTTGTTGGATTTTCATCTCTTCCTGGGAAAATAGCAACACTGTTAGTTTTCATGGCAGGAAACCTGGAATAAGCTGCATCAGTGGGCCATTAGGCTCGTTAACAGAGTTAACCTTTAATTCGGAGCTGTAATTAATTCTAGTTCGCTGATCTTGTCGTCTCGTCCCTGTAGGTCGCGTCGTTGTTAGACCCTTCCCACAAAAGATTCCGGAATTACTGCGGAGCTCTTTTAGGATGTTGGAAACAATTGATGACAAAAGTATCAATGTTATCGACAAGGGGGCTTGCGAAATTTTAAACCTGGGTTACCCGGTTGCAGATGCAAAAAACGATGACTTTTCAGGTAGTAAACAATAATTTCACTTATTTTAGTAAAATTATTTCGGTGGGATTGTTAAATCGTAACCTTGAATCCCGTCAGGAAAAAGCATTTAAGTGTGAAACAGCAAAAGTGTAGAGACTGTTAGTCCTTGATGTTATTTGTTTCTGATTTCGATCTCTGATTTGTCTTCGTTTTGTTTTGTTTCTGTTTATCTTCATAACGTGGGCGAAACACAGTGGGACGGTTATTTAAACAAAGTTTAGCCGTTATACAAAACCGCGCTCTAAACAATCCTAAATTTAGCAGAATCTTTTTTCTGAACATTTATTTTTATGAACAGTGTCGAGAGGGCCGAAATTTAACAGTGGAACAGAGGACATTTATTTAATAAAACAACCGTCTTATAGAGAGTACGTAAGGCCCACTGCTTGCGTAAAACCGCGGTTTGGCTTAGACCTCGTGTAAATAGCCGGCCCAGTGTGGTTTATGGATTGGTGGAGGTTGATGGGCAGGAATATTCCCTCCACTTCTCACTTCAAACGCAGCCTGTGCGGTCCCTTCTGGCGCACCAACAACAGAAAGGGCAATTAACGAACCGCTGAGTTAAAAATGTACAAAGAATGGAAAAAAATTAATATTTCGGGGAGAAAACTACTAAATACAATAGAAATACAAACGAATTGAGCAGCACCGCGGTATATCATTGTTAATTAGCTAGTTGTTGTTCGGTATTCACGTCTTAATAACGGAGTGTGGGGGTAATATTGGCTTAAAGTCGTGGTAGTGCGGACCGAGCTTAGCGAGGTCCGTACAAAAACGACCGAGGGCCTTATACTCCCCAGTACGGCTCGAGCAAGCAAGGCTAGCTAGTAATTTTTTATATGGCACTTGGACCAAACTTGCTGATTTTGAATTTGCTGGCATTCGCTAACAGAAGCACACGGCTCACGACCGTTTCCGTGGCAACGGTCCGTATGGCAAAATAACAACTAAGTAAGAACCAATCAGAACGCTAGGATTTACCTCAGGAACACCTTGCCGTGTGATAGATTGAGATACTTATTTCGTGTAAAATTAATAAGTTTTCTGACAAGTTTTCAACTAATGTGATTGTAGGTGTGAATTCTGTTTTCGTGCCAGAAAGCGAGATCTGCTACATCCCTCAGGTCTGCAAGGTGTGCCAGTCTACAAGAGATGAATCACACATCGTGGGCTTACAAGTGGTATCCTTCAGAACGTTTTCTGAAGAGGTAATGTAGTGTTTTTGTATTGCTCTTAAATCATTTCTTAAGCAACACCAAATAACACTTTGAGATAACCGTGAAGAAAATCAAATTTTTGGGATAAAGTTTTCAATTTGCGACCAAATTGATCTCTACATGAAGTTAACAAATTTGACTTTGTCTTCAAAGTGATTGTGATGTTAGCCTTTGCCTACTAACACATGTTTGTGGTTCCAACCTTACTTGACAGGTCTGGCTATTTCCTAGTATCGTTTTTAATCGTCAACCATCGAGCCACCAGAACTGAAAAGACCTGGCTCAATCGTATCTCTGCAACTCGACTCTGTTTTGTCTCTGAAACACGTCATGAATAAAATTATTTGATATAATGTGATTATGGCTCGGCCATTCCATCACTCTTTTACGTGGTTGCTTGTTGCATTAACTGACTTCTTTTGTTTTGTTTTGTTTGGTTGTTTTGTTTTGTTTTGTTTTGTTTTGTTTTTTGGCTTCAGTGCGGTTATTTGGTACTTATTGACTCACATTCCCCGCCCAGCTCTTGTCACATTTTATTCCAACAAGTGACCAGCATCTTATTTCTCCTCACACTACCACTGGTAAATCACACATTGAGGTCACGGGAATATAGGAAATGATCACCAACTAAATGTAAAATGTATAGAGAACAGTATGGAGAATATGCATACTGATGTAAGGGTTAATTGTAAGCCCCAAGGTATGTTCTAGAGGGTGCGACTTTTTGATGAATCAATTACATTTTTGCAAGCAGTGCATGTACACATTTGCCTTGTGGGTGGCTCGGCTAATCCGTCTCGAAAAAGACTTAAACAGAAGGGATGCAAATGTACAGTTTTGCAGTATATTAACAATATTGATACTACAGTATATAAAAACATCATAACAAGGATATGACAAGTTTTTAATACATTGTACTTTATTAAAACAGAGTTTATGATAATAGTAATAACGAATATTTATACAGGATAGCCCCTCATTACATAAGAACTGTTATCAAATAAAACCTGTATAAATGATACAAATGTAAATAGATTAAAAACGAAAATAAGATAAAATATGACCTTGGCTAACGCTAACCTGAAGAAACTACGCTATACAATGTAAAATTCATCAAGAGACTTCACAAATAATACCCTGCTGCTAATCTGCTTGGTTTGTAACTTTTCAACCCCTAAGAGCGACAAGCATCTAATTTCTCCTCACAATATCACCCCCAAATCACACATAGAAACATCATAACAAGGATATAACGGGTTTTGTACTTCATTATAACGGAGTTTATGATAGTGCTAATAACTAATATTATACAGGATAGCCCCTGTTACTGTTATCAAAGGAAACCTGTATAAATGATACAAATGTGAATAGAATAAAAACGAAAAATAAGATAAAATATGACCTTGGCTAACGCTAACTTACAAAAACTACGCCATACAATGTAAAATTAACCAAGAGACTTCCTAAATAATATCCCGCTGCTAATCTGTTTGGGTTTCAACCCTTTAACCCCTAAGAGTGACTAGCATCTAATTTCTCCTTACAATATCAGCCCCAAACCACACATGAAGGTAATGAGAATAAAGGAAATGGTCACCAACTAGAGAAGCTCTGAATTATGAAAGAAATTCCCCTTATTAGCACCTTAGGGAATGTGTAGGGAACAGTATGGAGAATATACATACTGATTTTAGGCTGGAAAGGGTTAAAGGTAAGGAGTTTAAAGATGGAGTGCTCAAAAAATGAAAACTTTTGCGAGCATATTCAAGTTTGACTTTCGGGAGAACAACGATGATACTATTGTTCCTCGTATGAAAATTGTGTGTTAAAAAATATAAAAAATTTACTAAGGGAATACCGACATTGCCTTAAAGGTAATCAAACACAAATAAACAAGCCCTTTTTAAGATATTTTCAATTGCGGGAGATTAGTCCCTGTAACTACGTTACGCCAGGTTTGTGATTTGACACTTGCGTGTCTCTGACCAACCAAGCGTGTTTTAGCCACAGTCTGAGGCTTTATCATTGTTCTGCATATTCGCTCAGCGCTTAATGTGTCAATGTTTGAACGGACCGTAATCAGTTTTCTCTCCCCACTGCTTTTTGTACGTTTTTATGAAAGTATTTTATTAGCTAATGGTGTATTTACTAAATGAAATTGTTGCAATTTGTGCAATTTTAAGATGCATCCGGCATGTTTAACTTTGAAAGATATCTTTTGATGTTATCTTGTTTTGACTACCCGTGATTGCCTCTGCCTTTTTGCTATTTTCATTTTGTCACACAGGTAACTCAGAGAAATGAGTCATTGCCCATTGCACAAGCTTAACCGAGAACAACGAACCCTTGCTACTAAGCTTGTGTACAGTGTAAAAGAACCTTACCCTGGTTGTAAGGCAAGGTTTCAATTAAATCCCTTATTGGAACCCTTTACTCCTAAAGTACAAAAACAAGAACAAACCAAAAAGACAAATGCAAAATAAAAAACAAAGGATAGCTTTGTTCCCACCAGAAACATCTTAATGGGGCTGGGGTAGTAATGGAACTTTCAAAGAGATCACACTTGGTCCCAGACCTCTCTTGGCAGTTTTCTGTGCAATCCACGATGGTTTGTTTACTCCTGCGTATCCAACTAGCGCAAAGGATCCTCGAAAGTCCGGCAGTACAGGGTCGGTAGCGCCCAGTCTCTTGAGAGCGTCAAGTGCTGATTTTACGTAATTTGAACCTTCATCTTGAATCGCCACTAAAACGATTTTACTGTAAGGACGAAAGGGATATTCGTTAGGAATAACTATCAGGAATATCATTGTGACGAGTAGTGTCATTTGTTATCCTCACTTTCCCCTTTCATTGTCTGGTGCACGTTTTTTTAATAACAAAAGGGGGGGGCTTTTGACAGTTTTCGCCTGTATACACACATAGGGGAGTACATTACACATAATGAGGTGAGTGAATGCCGCTGAAACTCAGAACACTGGCTTTACAATGCTGCAATTTGGTAGGAGCATAGAGGTTATTTGGTTTCTTTAAGTTAGAGTGTACCCAATTCCATACATGCTGTATCCTACACTCTACCCTTGACATACTTTCCGTTGAGCTTGTTGAGATATTCCTTAAGGTGATCACCAGCAGTGGAGTTCCAATGCGTATCAAATGTTTTACTTTCGAGAACTTCACCTGCATGAGAATAAAAACAATTTCCTTGATGTCTTCTCGAACAATTAGCGGAGTTCAAGAAGAATTTTAAAAAGGCTGTTACACCATTTTGCCATTTATTTTCTGTTTTACTGGAGAAAAAGATATCGGGGGAATAATGGATAATTTAAAACTATCTCTGCCGAACTGGGTGAGATTACTAAAGACCAGCCTTCAGGGAAATGACCCGGCAGTTTTCTTCTTACCTGTTGTGCCATCAACAACTACAACGTTGTATCCCCTGCCGTGAAGAGAGTAGTCCGTTCTCTTCACCGTGATATTAGCGAAACCACAAGTGTTTTTAGGTCGTTTTGGATCTTCACAGCCCTCGCTTTTGATGTGAATGTCCACTGGTGGCCCTGAAAGTGTAGAACGTGAAATATTGGCTCAGGAGTACAGTTAGCACTGGTAATTGAAACTTAAAAACTTTATCATTAAGTAGTCACGCTGGAATTGGGCACAGAGACTGCGCTAAGTCGAGACCTTGAATCCAAGTACACAATCGGGAACACAGGTTCCCTGTATGTATACGTTTTTCATCAGTTCTTGATTATTTGAACTAATCATTACCTGAATATTCACGATTACCACGCTCGCACTCTTGTCCACATTGTTTGACAGTGATCCAAAGTATTAACATGATATTTTTTGGGGGTACACGAGTCACTTTTTGACTGTGTAGCGGTATTTGTGCTAAGGAACCGAATGAGAACATAACGTTTTTTCTTTTTTTCCTCCTCGTATGGAATTCGAGAACTTAATAAACTTTTGGTAAAAAGGCCTAAATTTAAGGTTTCCGTTATCATACCTTTTTGAAAATTGCAAAGGCTCCGTTTGAAACAATTATATTCCATAGTGATTCTAAAAGTTCTACATGAGCCTGGCAGTTATTTACAAGAACTTTATTGCAAATTGTTCAAGGAGTCAAAGTGACAGGTTGTGAATTGAAAATATTTCTCTGTTTGGGTGCATTGGCCCTTTACCCCCAAAGAGTGACAAGCATCTGGTTTCTCCTTACAATGTCGCCCCAGAATCAGACATTGATTATCACGTACGAAAGAAGCTCTTGATTGTTCAACAAAACTCTCCTTGTCAACCCCTTAGGAGATATATGGAGAACAGAACGAAGAATATGCATACTGATGAGGGTTGATAATGTGCGCCTAAAACTGACACATTCTATTCAAGCATACAAGTTGCAGATGGGTACAAAGATTAAAAATTCGCTTTTCACAGAAGAGAGACATACAGTATAATAAAAATGTAGAGAGAGAGATAGAATACTTTGATGAAAACAAAAAATGAAATGTAACATCACTGTTAACCTTTTTACCCCTAAAAATGACTAACATTTAACTTGTTCTTACTTCATTTTCCCTGAATGTAACATTAAGGTCATAGAGTCAAAAAAGCTTTCGATTGTCAAGCAAGTGTTTGTCAGTTTCACAGAAATTGTTCAGTAAATGTATGGTATACGTTTACAGAATAACATGTGGGGGGGGGGTTGGAAAAGAGTCAGTAATCTTTAAAAGTCTGGGCCAGTGTTGAGAGAATTTCTTATTCGATCAAGTAGCTAATGAACGGGCAGTGAGTGATTAAGTTTACCTTTCATCCAAGCAAGTTGAAGTCTAAGCTGAGTTCGATTGCCGGCTAAATCTTGCCTTAGCTTTTTCGTTTCGTTCTGCAACTGGTTCAGTTCTTCACTGCATTTGTCAAGTAAAAAAAAACTCGTGAAAGACTGAATAATAACTCCAGTGGAAGTTACACATGTTAAACCTCTTACCCACAAAGAGGTAAAGTAAAAGGAACTAGAACAAGCGGCTGTCGCAGCAACAATGTACCAAATGGCCCAGGGTTTATTATGTTGACTTTTGATGAGACTTTTTTTTACGTCATTAGTTATCTCCTCGAGCTTTCTGTGAAAATCATCCAGGATTTTTATTACTTCCTCGATTCGCTCGTACATCGTGGCAAAGTCGATGCTCTTTGACAATGAGGAAAATTTTGTTTTTATCGCTTGTTGTACAACTCCCATTTCTGTCTGTAACTCTTCGAACTTATCCCGATGCTGCTTGCAGTCTTCAGTTAAGATAACAGCCTGTTCGTACAGGTTATTACTTAAGAATATTAAATGCACAGACACGATAACAAGACTTCCCTTTGCAGAATTTGCAATTTTAGGTGGTATGCCCTTGATCAGTCCTCGGAGGTTTTGTTTGGCAAAGGAAGATAACTGTTGCCATTCCACTGAAGCCAGGAATTTGATAAGTAATTTGTTGAGCTCGTCGTCTGATTGGGATGGCTTCAAGGCCCTTTCTAGTTTAGGACAGATTTCTGGCACGCTGAGCCCATTCGTTGCAGATGTCGTTGGAGATGTAAACAGGATAAGTAAAACCAGAATTCGGAAGAAACGAAAGCGGAAGTACTTCCGGTCTTGCGAAGACATCCTCCCTGTAGATAGTCCCTTGCAGCGGTGACCGATGAAAAGACTCTTGAGCAATCGACTGTTGGCAGATGTGATGGGATCTGTTTGGGAACTTTGCAGACAATCCGACGACTCAATTCACGGATACGTTTGTTGTAAACCTAGTTGAAAATCTCTTGGTTCTGATCGACAACAGCCGAAAAGCAAAGCCAGTGCACATGCGATCACGTGACAACTAATTAAAATACTCGACCCAGTGTCTCAAAACAGGATTCTGTGTTCTATGTTCTGTTGCTATGATAATCAGTCGTAAGCATTCCATCCTGCGGCGCCTAATTAGGAATAATATCGAGGACCTATATCCCACAGTTCATTTCAGATTCTAGAATGTTGTCTTTCGAGGGACGACAAATTTGAGAAAATTCTTTCGCCGTTTTCATCCACGCTTGTCTGTTCCCTGTTTTAATGTTTCGTTCAAACCGAGATAGATTATACCGGAGTTGGGAGAAAAAAAAAGTCAAATTTGATTTGTCAAGGAAGAGAAAAAAGCAAGAGGTTGTTAAAAAACCGAAAGCAAGCTAAAAGGGCGGGAAACGAGAGAACCAGCTATGACAGGCCAAATGTAGCAATATTCAACTCATCCAATTTTATATTCAATTTTGTACTTTCTATTCAGCTATGAGTTTGATATTCAACTTTTATTCAACTTCCAACGTGTTGTTTTATAGTCAACTCATTACTTGATATTCAACTATGTATCTAACATCCAACTGTTTATTTGACATTCAGCTTTTCATTCAACATTCAATTATTCATTTAGCATTCAACTATTCATTCAACATTCAACTATTGATTTAGCATTCAACTATTCATTCAACATTCAACTATTCATTCAACAATCAAATTTTCATTCAATCAATTATGCTTGAGCCCCTAATACATCTAGCCAGTCAAGGGCAACATAGCCTGTTACAAACATGGCTGCAGCTTCTGAGTCTGTTGCACTGCGAACAGCCCATGAGGACGATGACACGATTATCGACTTCGATGTGGAATTTGACCTGCCAAGGTTTCTTTCCTCTGTCCTTGATAAAACTGACCAGGTTTCTCACACGAAAGGGGATCATGAAATTTTGGAGCAGAATATTGTCGTGGTCGATCAAACAGTTAGTTTTCTTCGTACCCTCCGAGATAGCAGCCCGAACATCAGCGCAGATGACAAAGAATATTTAGATAATCTCTCATCAGCTTTCTATGATGTCTCATCTGCTCTGCGGCAATGTTTAGCCTTAGCATCTTTATCTCCAACTACAGTTGCAAATAATGTTTGTCCCAAGGTAAAAAGTGATGGGGCTGGTAAGCCAGCTTTCGATATCTCTGCGGAGTTGCTCGAAGACTTCCTTAGTTTGGGATTTAGCTACACTAGAATTTCGGAAATTTTGGGAGTGTCTCGTTGGACTGTATCAAGGAGAATGAAAGACTATGGTTTAGAAGACTTTAAATCGTTCAGTAAACTGTCTGACGACGAGTTAGACAAAGTTGTACGAGGTTATATACGTGAACATGGAGCGACAAGTGGACAAGTGTATCTTACAGGATACTTAAGATCCTTAGGATTGCGAGTACAAAGGAGAAGGCTAAGGGAATGTTTAGCTCGCCTGGACCCACAGAACAGAGCCTTGAGATGGGGAATTGTTGTTTCAAGAAGAGTCTACTGGGTACCATGGCCCAACTCTCTATGGCATTTAGATGGCCATCACTCGTTAATACGCTGGAAGCTCGTCATTCATGGCTGTATAGATGGGTTTTCAAGACGTATTATATATTTAAGGTGTAGTTCAAACAACTTAGCTGAGACTGTACTGAACTTGTTTTTGAATACCGTGAGCAGAGATGGTGACCGTTGGCCATCAAGGCTACGAGTTGATCGGGGAGTTGAGAACGTACTCGTGTGTGATGCAATGGTGCAGTATCGAGGAGAAGGGAGGGCAAGTTTCATTGCTGGTCCCTCAACTCACAATCAAAGGATTGAACGTCTTTGGAGAGAGGTGTACCGATGCGTTTGTCACCTTTTTTACTATACTTTTTATGCTATGGAATCATCAGGGCTTCTCAATGTGGAGGATCCGATTCAGCTCTTTGTATTGCATACCATTTTCATCCCCAGAATCAATCATTGTTTAAATGAATTTTCCGAAGCTTTCAACAACCATGCAGTAAGTACTGAGGGTAATTGGACTCCATCTCAAATGTGGATAAATGGCATGATCCATTCTAACAATCCACTTGCACATGGGGATATTGATGAAGAGCCAGCTGATGTTCAGCTATATGGCTATGATCCAGAGGGCCCCTCTTCTTCAGAAGAAAATAACAATGTTGTTGTTGAGTCAATTCCTTTAGATAACAAGGATATCTTAGAGTCTTACGTGTTGGATGTTGTTGACCCTCTAACAATGTCCACACAATTGGGTATTGATCTTTACACTCAAGCTCTAAACCTAGTCATGGAAAGAATGGACCTAGTCACACACACATGTAATAAACCTTTTGGGACATTATGTCTATTAAAATACCATTCTGAAATTACTGTCATAAGTCTTAGTAATAATGACATTGTTTAACTGGCTGTTAAGACTGCTTTATTCTCTCAGGAAGTAATTGAATACCTTATTTTATGTGTAGAAAAAGGCCAAACTAAGCCTCTATTTTTATTTATTCTTGTGTAGGTGTAAAATTCATCAACACCTAAACTGGCAGTGTCACTATGAAAAAATGTCAAAATCTCAACCACAGTTCTGCAAACTCATGGAAACAAGTCACACGTTGGCTCACTTCAGATGGATGTAAATTTTGTGACTGTTCTAAGAGGACTTTCTATAGTGAGCTACTTTGAATCATAACAAAAGTGATCCAAAACCACAAAGTACAGCTTTTTACCTCCTAATTATGAACTTTATTGTATGGAAGGAACCATAATTTTTCAAACTTTAACTGACAATAGTGAAGTAACTTATGGTTAAGAATGATCAAAAGTACTTTAAAACTTATTCCTTTTTACTCAGTGGTGACAAACAAGGTACCTAACATTTTTGTGTGGCTTACACAAAGTGTGTAGCCACACTATGGCACGATCGGATTTATTTATTTATTTAACACGAGAGTCGAGCGCCTGTCACCTGGTCTAGTATCGTAGTATTGTACGGCGTACTAATCTGAGTCAGCCATCTTAATTGTAAGCGTGGTCTCGAGTAATTTTTTTCAGGTGATCGTACCACGAGTTAGTTCCCCTCACACAAGCCAACACATTCAGACCCGGCTTGTGTTATAAGTGCAGCTTGGGTAAAATTTCCGCACAGCCCCATACTACATTATGCATTCAGTTCTTGGATAGAGAAAACAATGACAAAAACAATAGATTGCCATTGGGAAAACAGATTTGTTTTACAATAGTATGGGGCTGTGCGGAAATTTTACCCAGCTTGTGCAAGAGCCTCTACGTTCTTAAAAGACAATATTTAACTGCTTGAATCTTCGGTACGGGTTGTACCACACTGAAAGGAGTTATTGCACTCCCACAAGCCAACAACTATCGGCTTGATCTATCGGTGCGGGTTGCACCACTGAGTGTCTGAAAGCGTTTGAAAGTGTTTTAAAGTGTCTGAAGCCACCTGAAAGTGCCAGAAAGTGAAATAAGTTGTATTGCAGTTGCTTTCTCTTTGCACTGTTGAGAATTCACGGAGGCTATCTCAAAACGAAAAAGTAAGTATGGGAATCTCGATTGAACAATACCGGTCAAGTATTGGCTCTCGTGACAATTTCGTGAAAACTAAGGATATCTTATCACGTTTTAATGATCATTGTTGGAGTTTAATGTTTGTGATGTTCTATTTAAATTATTTTACTTGCCAGTATTGAAACAAGTTGTTGGACAACACAAAATGTGGAATGATGTGATGTTTTGGTTTTCACAAATGATTTCCTACAATGCCTATATTCCATTGCTTATAAGGCAGGCAAATGATGTAGAGGAAAATCCAGGCCCTACAATATTTGATGTCATCGATCCAACAAGAACAATATGTGCTGACTACAATCAAGGAAATGAAGCTCTCCTTGGTGAAAATGCTGGTAAGCAATGTATAGCAATGTCACTTACTGCTATTATTTATCATCAAGATATCAATTTGTGGACTTCTTCCATTTTGAATAATATTCTTACCATTGGAAATAATTTGTATACTTCTATTAGATGTTCTGTCCAGACAAATGATTACTTGCTTTTAACTGATGTTTCATGCTTTGTTTCAATTTACAATAATGTATACACATTAGAATATAGTGAGTCATTAACAGGAAGTTTGTTCATGACATCAAATAATGGGCCATACATGTCTCTTCAAAATTCTCTGACAGAAGTGTTTTCAAATTGTCAACTTAACTACAATTGTTGTTTGTTAACAATTGGAATAAATACTGTTGCAGTGATTAAGAATTCAGAGCAAAGCTTTAAATTTTTGATGCTCATTCCAGGGATTTGCATAGGATGCCCCACTCATTTAGGGAATGTACTTTGCTTACCATTGAAGGAATTGAAAACCTTGTATCATATTTGAACATTTCCTGCTTACAAATAGGGTTTGTTCCTTTTGAAATTAAAGGTGTCTTTGTCAGAGATAATGAACTTGATTTGCAAAACGTTCGTGAGAGTCCAAAAATTGAACATTTGCCTTTCAGAAATAAAAGAAACCAAACACAACATATGAAAAGGAAGCAAAAGTCTTTAACTGAAACGCCAGAAGAAAAAGAAAAAGAATTGATTGCTAGACATGAATCTGAGAAATGAAGAAGGGTAAATGGAAGTGAGGAATCTAGGGAAAAGAGGCTGGTCCAGCAGCTTCTGAACAGGGAAAAGAAACGTGCAAATGAATCTTCTGAATCAAGAAAAAAGAGGCTGGCAACCCAATCTCAGTATCAAAGACAAAAAATTGCAAATGAATCAGCAGAATGTAGAGAGAAGA